AAGAGCTATGAGTTCTGATAAAAACAAGGAATTGTTCTTACAGCAAGTCCAGCAGATATTGGACGGTATCAAGCAAGACAAGGAGCAGTTGGGTCAGAGATGTGTTGAGGAGAGGAAAGAGAAAGATCGACTGACAACCATCCATCTTGATCTCATTGACAAGCAAAGGAAGTATTACAAAACTGTTAAAGACTTTCAAGAAGTAAGAGAAAATGAGAAGGATATACATGTAGTTACTCTTTTTTTATTCTGCCTCTCTGTGTCTCCTTATTTCTTTTCTAGGAGTGTCGCAAAAATGAAACGCTGTTGTCAAAAAATTAAAACTAAAAATTGCTAGACCTCGTGTTAATTTAAGGGCTAGAAATACAATATAAAATTGCTGTTGTGTGTTACTTTAGTTATTGATAAAGATTGTATCAATTGAATATTTTTAAACGAACATCCTGCCTCAGCTCTTCCTACATGTACTTCAGTTTGGCAGATCATTTAGTAATTATGGATATTCTGAGGTATGCAGTGAAAAGATCATAAGTTTGCAAAAAATATAAATATCAGACACTACTATAGATTTAGTGTTGTAAACACAATTACAAATAAAATTACGTTTCTTTATAAAAGTTAAAACTATTATCATGTATTATGATAATTAGACTATATTTAATGTACATATATATCTAGATACTGTATATCAAAAGATGCTAGAGTATACAGTGTGTGTATAATGTATCTAATCTCACAATAGCAACTATATAAAAACTCAGTCTGACTGAGTGACTATACTAAAAACTATGCTATACTAAAAACAGCAAAAATCTAGCTTTTAAAGTTTTAATTTAAAGCCTCTGGATCAAAATACACATCCAGGTTTTTTGACATATTGATGTACTCTGTGATCAATTTCTTCTGTTCATCTTCACTTTCACAAGATTGAGAAACTTGCCTTCCTACCTCAAAAATCTTTCTGGCCAATTGTCGTCTGGGCTCTTGAGTATCTCTTTTGCTCTCATACCATGACAGAATGATTCTATTGATGGTAATGTCATCAGCTTGCAGATCTTTAGCATCATCAGTGCAGTTAAAAGCTTTCGTAATGGCATCTAGATGAACTGGTACATTTTCAGAAGCAAATGAAGTAATCTTATCTGCTACATCAGCTATTTCCTTTCCCTTTACCTGTGTCAAACCTGTCATGAAATGATAAATTATATCAGCCGTAATATAAAGTATAAAATTTTACCTTCAGTTGACTGAAAACAATCTTTAATGGGATGCTATATACAAAAATAAATTCACTATTATTGATTTAAGTTTAAAACATACAAACTCACCTCCTTCATGTTTTATTCCAAACCTGTAGAAGTTTAACATCATCACCAGTGGCAGCTTCATTGCATTTAGAGCAGAGCTTGTCATCAGGCAGTATGTGATAGTGACATGAAGGAATGTATCGAATTTTTGAGTGATCGCTCTCTGCACACACTTTGATAAACTTGTAGTTGACAGCAGCAATGCCACGGCTTATAGCACTCTCAGCAATCTTCTCGTATGTTTGAACAATCTTGGAGCATATGCGTTCATCTGGTTTGCTTAATGTCAGTCTGGTAGCCGGGCTATGTGAAACTAATGTGACAGTAATGCCTGTAGCAGAATCCATGATGATGGTTTGGTTTGGATGTTTGGATAAAACTAGCTTAGACTCTGGGAAAAGTTGCAAAAAATATT